TGAATAGAATGCAGAATAGAGTAGAATAGAATGCAAGGCAGGGCAGGGCAGGGCAGGGCAGGGCAGACTACACTAGAATAGAATAGAATAGAATAGAATAGAATAGAATAGAATAGAATAGAATAGAATAGAATAGAATTCTTTCTTGGCCAAGTGTGATTGAACACACAAGGAATTTGTCTGGTGCAAAAACTCTCAGGGTACAAGCAACAAGTGATAACTCATGATCATAGTCATCATAAAAATACATTCATCTTGAATCATAAGATACAACACTTAGTGATAGTCATAAGATACTAAATAAGCAATCGATATAAACCATCCTAGGACACTAAATAAAACATTACAATTGTAAGATACAAGTTATTGTCCAATAAGGAGATAGGTAATAGGAAAGATGAGAAGAAGAATAGTAATACAGCTTTACTAGATAGTTCGACAGTGTTGTGGGATTATACTTTGATTACTGCATTTGTAATTTTGTTAATGTTTTTTTTTGACCTGATATGTAGATAAGAGATATTTCTTATGCCACTCACAGTTGTCGGCAATTGGAGAGGCTTGCAGAGAAAAGCAACCAGGATGATTAGGGGATTGGAGGCTAAAACATACAAAGAACGGTTGCAGGAACTGGGTATGGCTAGTCTAGTGAAGAGACAGACCAGGGGAGACAGGATAGCGGTCTTCCAATATTTGAGGGGCTGCCACAGAGAGGAAGGGGTCAAGCTATTTTCCAAAGCACCCGAAGGCCAGACAAGGAATAATGGATGGAAACTGGATAAGGAGAGATTCAACCTGGAAATAAGGAGAAACTTTCTGACAGTGAGAACAATCAAGAAGTTCTCCAGAAGTTGTGGGTGCTCCATGACTGGAGACTGGTTAGCCATTTGTCCAGAATAGTAGAGGGTCTCCCCTGGTTGGGGTTGGTTGGACTACAAGACCTCTAAAGTCCCTTCCAGAAGTCTCTGTAATATCTGTATGCTCGGTAAATAAATAAATATTTAAATAATTCATATCAAGCGGGAAAGAAGCATTATTTGACATTTCATTTCCACCATTGTCTGGCTCCCTCTCGCAGTCCCAAAAAGTGTGCATCTTTTTCAGGGCCGTAGCGAAGAGCAGATTTATCTCCCAAGTGATGTACTGCAAAAAATTCATCAACGCATCTGAGAAGCAAACCCTTCATCCTGGCGCTTTTTTCTTCCAGATACAATTAAGCATTAATGAAGCTCTCCCAATGAATCCTTTGGTGGACTGAAAGCAAATCATGCATGACGGGCAAGAAATGCTAATAATTCTTTGATTGTTTTGAGGGGCAGGCTAATAGGATAGCCAATTGTTCTAATGGTCTGCCATTAACTTTGGGGGGGGGGGATTCTACTCATTGGTTGCCCTCAACAGCTAATAGAGTGTGAAAAACCCGTGGAACAAGGTATTTCGCGCACAGTACAAGAAAAGGATGTGGATATTTATGCATTCTGTAGTCAAAAAGTTAGCTAATTGTGGAGGAGGGATAGGTAAAGGTAAAGGTTCCCCTTGCACATATATGCTAGTCGTTCCTGGCTTTAGGGGGCGGTGCTCATCTCCGTTACAAAGCCAAACACCCAGCGCTGTCCGAAGACGTCTCCGTGGTCATGTGGCCTGCATGATTCAACGCCGAAGGTACATGGAAGGCTGTTACCTTCCCACCAAAGGTGGTCCCTATTTTTCCACTTGCATTTTTTACGTACTTTCGTAAAATAGAATAGAACAGAACAGAGCAGAACAGAACAGAACGGGGGCTTCTCTCAGGCCTCTGGGAGGGCGAAAATGGTCTTCCCTAGGCTATGGAGATCCTCCAGAAGCCAGAAACAGGCCCGTTTCCGGACTTCTGGAACTTCCATAAGGGCTGTTTTTTGCCCTCCCAGAGCTTCCACACGGGCCCTGCACTTACCTGCATCCAAAACGGGCTGTGTGGAGACTTCTGGGAGGGGCGTGGTGGGCGGGGCAGCCGGTCGTTTCAACAACTGGTTGGGCGAACTAGATGTAAATTTAACATCCAGTTCACCCGAACCCTCCCAAACCAGCTGAATCCCCATCCCGGATTACACTGACTCTTTTTATCTTTCTTAAGGAAGGAAATAAAAAAACCTTTTTACCTGGGTTTCTATTCCTTGTTCGAGCAACCTTTTGGCCTGGTTTTCTACTTCGAGTCGAGCTCTTGCAATAAAAAGCAGTTCGTTTTCAATTACCTCAATTCCAGAAAGGTCTATTCCTTGAGAAAGGTAATCTATAAAAAGAATACAATACGGATAATTACCCCCAATTCTAAAAATAACAGTGAAACAAACCCAACTTTCTAGGTGCACTGTAATGTCACAATTTCATGTACGCAGGCATGGGTTACACCTTGAGTTATCCTAGAAGGGACGAGAAGTATTATTAATCAATACTAAAATACGCCACACCAAATTTAATTGCTCTCATTATTTTTAAATCTTTCCACTCTGGAAACAGAAAGGTAAGAAATACACTACGGGTTAAATTTATTTCGTTGAGCTACCACCATGAATAAATAAATGAAATCCCCTTCGTCACATAATCAAAATTCAGCCCCTTGGCAACTAACTCAGAGTTATGACGGCTGCAGTGCCCCGGGGTCATGTGAATCCCCTCTTGTGACCTTCTGACAAGCAAAATCAATGGGGAAGCCAGATTCACTTAACAATCATGTTCCCAACAATTGCAGCGACTTGCTTAGCAGATTGTGGCAGGGTAGGCTGCAAAATTCACATAACAAATGTCTCCCTTAGCAACATACATTTTGTTGTTGTAGGACAAGGACTACCAAGGACTGCCACTTCATAGGTTGTCCGTTTCATAGTACCGACTGCAATTAAACAATCAAACGAATGAATGAATAATAGAATAGAATAATAATAGAATAGAATAATAACAGAGCAGAGTAGAATAGAATAATGATAGAGTAGAAAGAGTAGAGTAGAGTACAGTGGAATAGGAATAGGATGGATGGATGGAATGGAATAGAAAATACGATAGGATAGGATAGGATAGGATAGGATAGGATAGGATAGGATAGAATTCTTTATTGGCCAAGTGTGATTGGACACACAAGGAATTTGTCTTGGTGCAAATGCTCTCAGTGTACATAAAAAGAAAAGATACATTCATCAAGAATCATAAAGTACAACACTTAATAATAGTCATAGGATACAATAAGCAATCAAATCATACTAGGAAACAGTAAAAATCGTTGGAATACAAGTGACAAAGTTACAGCCATACAGTCACAAGTGGGAGGGGATGGGTGATAGGAACAATGAGAAGATTAATAGTAATAGTAATGCAGACTTTGTAAATAGTTGGAGAGTGTTGAGGGAATTATTTGTTTAGCAGATGGCGTTCAGGGAAAAACTGTCCTTGTGTCTAGTTGTTCTGGTGTGCAGGGCTCTATAGTGTCGCTTTGAGGGTAGGAGTTCAAACAGTTTATGTCCAGGATGTGAGGAGTCTGTAGATATTTTCACAGCCCTCTTTTTGACTCAGGGTGCAGTATACAGGTCCTTGATGGATGGCAGGTAGGTAGTAATTGTTTTTCTGCAGTCCTTATTACTCTCTGAAGTCTATGTCTGTCCTGTTGGGCTGCAGAACCAAACCAGACAGTTATAGAGGTGCAGATGAGAGACTCAATCATTCCTCTGTGGAACTGGATCAGCAGCTCCTTGGGCAGTTAATAAAAATTGATTTTATTGAAGAACAGATCTATGATAAAAAAAATTATCCCCTTCTCTTTATAGATAGTTCAACAAATTTCACCGTTTTCCTAAATTAGCTAGTTCTGTCTCTAAAAGATGCAGCCTCACACTGGGCCTGCGTTTCTTTATGTACAAGATTTCTCATCCACTCTTTCAATCATTCTTCAAGATAAACAACAACTTATAAAGCAACAGGCAGAAATGAACATCAATCATTGTGACACTTGATCTGTGCATCAGTTGTAAAAGTCATGGTCCAATTCAGTTGCGTGCTGCATCTTCGAATCGGTTTTTACATTATTACTTTTTTTGTATTTCGTCTGAAGACGGTGCCTAGGTATATTTTAAGGAATAAGTACGATTTTGGGTCAAGGTGAATGCTAAAGTCACTGAAGCATGCCCGAGCAACCGCAATGCCAGATTTGGAAGACATATTTTGCACGCACCAGATGTCAGTCTTGAATCCCTCATCTGAGGCACCGAAGCAGAGACGGGTTTAATTTAAAGTAGTTTCACTTAAGTCCATTTGAATCTTTGCTGTCAACTCCTGCCTCTTCGTTTGCCTTCTGCTTGTAGCTACAATCCATCAAGCAGCAATTTTATGCCAGGCAGGAGTTAGTATTTTGGGGAATAGACGAAGGCTTCTGAAGGATTAAAATAAAACAAAATAAACAAGGGGAAAAAGCTGCAAAACAGAAATTTTAAGAAACCTTTCTTGAATGCTGTCATTTCACGCCCCACTTAAAACACCCCTCCGGATGATCTCTACTCCAATCTCTCAAGAGGATCTAAAAAGAACGGCAAACAAAGCAGCTCAACCAAAGCTTTTTATCCCAGACTGCAGGTGGCAAGGGCGATATTATTTGGAACTTAACAAAGCTCCTTGCAGAGCAGAAATGTTGGAGAAGCTTCACTAACGGAAGCAATTGTTCTGTTGCCATTGACAGAAATGCTGAAGTAGAGCCAGGAAATACATCTACAAATATAGGAGGCTGCTGTCACCTATCCATAAAGCTAGAAGCAGAAAATACAAAACCTACTTGTGCTACAGAATAGGACAGGAAAGGAAATTGGATGGGGTGGGGTGGGGTAGAGTGAAGTGGAAGAATAAAGTAGAGTAGAGTAGAGTAGAATAATAACAGAGTAGAATAGAATAGAATAATAACAGAGTAGAATAGAATAGAATGCAGAGTAGAGTAGAGTAGAGTAGAGTAGAGTAGAGTAGAGTAGAGTAGAGTAGAATGCAGGGCAGGGCAGGGCAGGGCAGGGCAGGGTGGAATAGAATAGAATAGAATAGAATAGAATAGAATAGAATAGAATAGAATAGAATAGAATAGAATAGAATAGAAATAAGAATTAGAGTAGAATAGAATAGATTAATAATAGAGTAGAGTAGAGTAGAATAGAATAGAATAGAAATAAGAATAATAGAATAGAATAGAATAGAATAGAATAGAATAGAATAGAATAGAATA